GACATTATCTATCTTCACTTTCTTGATTTTTAATACGCGTAATATTTCTTGAAATTTTTCCTCTTGATACTTAAAATTATTTGCAAGCAAAATATTTGTTATTGTTACCTAAAACTGTTACGATATCTTAGTTTTGACAAATAAAATTTAGTTTGCATATATTTACTTTTAATACTTTTAAATTTTTATACTTTTAATTATTTAAAAGTAAAATATATTATTTATTACCACATATCTAGAATCATTAAGATATGCTCTTATTTCTAACGAACAAAATTTGGGAAATTGTAAAACTTCGATGCACTTATTGTTTGAAAATATATTCTTTAATTAATCTTTTTAATTAATCTTTAAGTTGTACATAATTAGAAATGTTTTTCTCAAAAAGTATCACAATTTAAATTAAAGTGAGGAAGGCGACTATAAATCTTCAATAGTACATTATCTCTGTAATCATAGCTTTGAAACATCTATTAATTTACGTTATTGGCGTAAATATCGCACGTTGATAGATTTTTGGTATCCAAAGGAAGAAATAGAGACGGCTGGAAAGGAAGAACAGCAAAGTGTATTGTGAATGCTCTTCTTTGATGTACCTCGCCTATCAGAGCGAAACGGTCGCGCTCCTCTCTTCCTTCCTGATCTCGTTCTCGCAGGATGGGATATCATCTCTCTCTGTCCTATCTTTGTATTCTATTCACCTTCCCGCAGCTTGACGAGGAAGGAGTAGCATTCCCCATTACCGATAAGATACTGATCGCGATATATGTACACCCACTGGCACTAATCCGCGCGGTGATCTGATAATTGAGCGAACGCTGGACACCGGAAATACGTAACAGCCGTTACTGTCACAGTAACGTCGATGCGGGATTACGAGTTGTTGGTCGCCCTTGCTCGTAACCAGGGTCAATTTGCGGTACCCACAAATCACGCCGGAATCACCGGAAGTGTCCGGATCGACGCGATTTTACAAAGCCATAGTGAAAACAATGTACTTTTTCTGCGAAAGATTAAATACGATATTGTAGAGATTGTCGTTTTTTTAACGATTTATGTGTAGAGGGAATATAAATTAAATAAACCGGTTCTTATAGAGCTAAAAAATAATAAATTGCAATAAATCTTTGTATCAAATTGTGTGAAGAAGGTCGCGCGCAGAATTTTAGATTCTGAAATGAATCAGTAATAAAACATCTAAAGCATTTACCGCGCTTTGACATTTATGAATGTTAATTATTTTAGTTTTAATTTAGTGTAAAATTCACCTAATTTTCACTTTTTAAATTATTTTTCTCATAATTTATTAAAATTATTTCTATAACTTTTAGTGAAAACCATACGTGAAAACGATTGAAATAATTGAATAAAAACGACGAAAATAATTGAATAGAAACTGAGCTACTAATTTGTAATTCGCTGTTACGAAGGAAAATGTCGCTTGCGTTTTGCAATTAGTTACGTTGCATAATGAAAATTTAGCACCATTGTGAAAATTAGCAATTATTTATTGTTTCTATTTCGAAGCGGAACATGTTTTAATTACTAGCGCGTTCACGTAAAAGCTCACCACCAGTTTATAATTATTGCAGCGACACCGGCTAACTTTCCGACTAACTTTCCGACTGATATCGAAACAGTTTATCGAGTGACGACAATTTAATTGATCATCTGCCTCTTCATCGTCGTAATATAATATTATCACGTTCGCAATATTTTAACGTGTTACTTTAATTACATGCATTTCAATTTCATTGGTGCGGTAGATCCGACAAATACAGTTGTACGTATCTACGTATCTACGTATTTCGGCCGAAGCCACTATTCCCCTTTCGGAACTTTGCGATAAATCTCGATTAATCCAATCGAGGAGCCATCGCGCGGATGCTGCGCGTGACCGACCCCGAAGAAGCGATTGCCAATCGCCGCTCGATTCCAGGACAGACCTTCCCGTTTAGTTAACGTAGTCGCTTCTTTGATTAGTTAACCCATTCCCATCTTTGTTCGCAAAAGGGGATAGACAAGGCGACGAGATGTGCAATTCCCTGGAGGGTTTCCTGCCGTAGACACTCTCCTCTCCCCCCCCCCCATCTCTTCTGTTCCCTTACTCTTTACAGGATCTCCTACACTCCATAGACTGAGATGAGAGCGATCGCTCGGTCGGAAAATCGCTTTAAACCGCGCCGACTAATATTAACTTTCTCTTATCGTTTCGTGAAATTCCCGAACTCTTTTTTTCCCTCCATCGCGCATCGGGATCGCAAAAGCTTTCCCTTCCCGTGGGGTGCACGCTGGACGGCGCTCCGAAATTTCCTTATTTGCCGTTCGGACGGTCGGCTTTGTGTAAACTTCGTTTTATCCCGCAAACGGTAAATGTTTTCCTCCTTTCCACCTTCACGATCGATATGTCTGGAATTTCGTAACGAGCAAATAGATCAACGATACGAGTCACGACGAGATCCGAGGTAGTCACGACATACCAAGGTCGCATGTAATTAACTATCTTGCACGTACCGTTGTGATCGATTACAACTTTTGATCCGTGAAACGAATGATGATTATTAAAATTAAGATGATTTATAGCAGCGCAAAAGAGGAGAAGGAAAGACGCAGGAGAAAAGAACCGCGATTGGCGAAACGGTGCGTCAGGTCACCATTTCAACCGGCAAACTTTATGCAAACAATTTTAGGGCGCAACAAACTGTCACGCTCGCAGTAAAACAGTAATGCTTTTCACTCATACAACCAGTCGCATTCTACAACGAGCATAATTCACGCGAGACAGCTAACCGCCCGCTAAAGTGATATGCATCCTGTACGTGCGAGCATATGTGAAAAAGCAAAAGTTCCGCGTGCGCTTTTATTGAAACGCTTTTTGCATTTGGAAATATCATTTTGAACTAGAATTTTTTTATTAGTAATCCAACACTAATGTTGCTTTTTAATAATGCTTGCGTATTTGATGTGTTAAGTTTATATTCTTATGCTTGTATATTATTATTGTGGCACACATTTTAGCTAATTTTAAACAAAATACAAAATTTAAAAAAATATAAATAAATTATCTTATTTCCACTCTACTACGGCAGTTTTTACTTGTTATTAAATGTATAACTTTGGTATATATAATAATAATGCACAAGGCAAGTTACACTAATCCAGCTAGATAATTGATGAAGTAACTTTTAAAAAATTTTATAAAGACCTACGTATCGCTTAAGTTTAGCGCATTAACAGATAACAAGCTTCCCTTCCGCTATTAAATTTAACGAATAGTTTCCAAATCATTAGCAAAAGCTTGCATCCGCATCCAGCTTATGTTATTGTAAGCTCGCACTTACGTCGATTCGCTCTCCAAACCAAAGCAGGATATTTAGATCTCCTGCTAAATCGCTTAGAAGATTGTATGGTTGTGCACGCATCCGTCGGAATAATCAGGGAGATTGTAAAATAAAGTCGAGAGTAATGTTTTATACGTTTCCGTGGGGAAAACGCCCGGAATGCAAAATATTGACCTATGTATCAGACTTTAATCAAGAGCTCGTGAAAATATTGGCCGACAAGGCAGATTCACGCGAAGAATAAAATTAGAAGAAACTTGCGCGTGCGAGCTGTCCAGCATCAAATGAATCGACGGAAAATTCGCGTGACGCGATCGCGGGAACGATGTACGTCCCAAGGGTAGGACCTCAAACACGCATAATCCGGACGAAATTACTGCGTGCCGGTGAAAAGCTCCGTGCATAAGTTTCGAAAGCGAACGAGCCTGTGCACGATCAAATATGTACTCTGGGGTAACCAAACACACCAGTAGTCTTTTATACGTGAGCAACGCGCTCACAGCTGTATGTGCTAAAATACTCATACGTCGCATGCAGCCCACGCCTCGCAAAATGCAGCCGTTAATCCGGCCGTTCGGCTGGAGCACGCGAGCCTCACTGCGAAAAATTTCGTCGGGTAACGTAGGTTAAATATAAGTACGTGTAAAATATATGTTCGTATATTCAGAAATATTCTCCTCGCATTTTTTTTTTCATGCGATTCAATTCGGACTTGACTAACCACAGAGATAAATAGTCATCATTATAATATAAAAAAATAGTTTCTTCTCGACGTTACTTTAACAAAAATTTGACATTTGTGTATGTCGAAAGTGTATCGAAAATAGAAAGTTGGAAACTTGCCAGCGATGATGGATTTTCATGAAATTATTGCTAACGGCAAATCGACTTCAAATTTGTCAGCCTGGAGCTGAAACGATATTCAATAACGATGACATGGTCTGTATATAAAATAAATCATATTCATAGGGAACATGCTACAAAATATTCGGCCCAATATTTTTCCATTCGAGATATGATAACTTCTAACTCACTTTGCGACCATTCGCGGTTATAGTATATATGTCGCCGCAATAAAATCATCCTCCGCTTCACTTTGCACAGATAAAGTGCTTAATATTTTAATCGCTCGTTTAACGAGTGCGATGCCCGTGAGAATATTTCGCGCTTTGCAACGTGTCCAATCAAAATAGTCGATTGGGTTCTGGGTCGCGAAATAGTCGACTGAATAAATCCGCTCACGAAATCGTTTTATTCATCGATTTTATGAATAAATATTATTGCGCAAACATATGTAATCCTTGAGTATAAGAGCCTATAAGTGCAATTTATTTCGTAAAATTACTAAAAGCTCTTCTTGCCAAAGTCATTTTATAATAATTTGTGTATGAATTTTTATTTTCATTATTTTTAGAATTAACAAACGTGAACCATTGCCTTGAATATATATTATTTATTGAATGGAAAAGAGAGCTATTTCCTATTGAATTATTTCTGCTATTATCCACGCGACTACGATAAATTACATGAGTACGAACTGATAAAATGCACACAGAAGTCTTTGACCTGTTAACATATTAATAACGGCATATTGTTTTTTCCAGGCACGCATGTTTAATATACCGCATACACAACATAAACTTTCTTTTCATGTTGCAGCATAATGAACAACAACAGTGTAGAACAGCCGGATCCAGACAACATAAAGATGTTTGTGGGGCAGGTTCCTCACGATATGGACGAGAATGATTTGAGGACGATGTTTGAGGAATATGGTCGAGTGCATCAGATAAATATCCTGCGGGACAAGATCACCGGTAGTCATAGGGGTGAGTGATTGAGCTTCTTCACATTTACGATTATATGCTTCAAGTTGTCTAGTTGCAATAAACTTTTGTATTTAATGGAATAATAATAAAAAAATAGATATAAATTAACTTCTATTTCTTTATTATTTTAGTTGAAGTTTATTTATACAGTTTTCAATTATAACAAATGAATATAAAATTATATTTTATTGTATGTATTTATTAGAAAAATTATAATATTAATATATTTCTATATTTTTTAACCAATTTATTTAATCAGTTTATTATTATTTTTTAATATTCTCTTTTATAAGTGTGAAAAATACTTTTATAATACATTTTTTTTTTTATCAAAAGATGACTGATAATTATGATTATTGCATTATGTTTACTTTTTTAAATATAATTTTCTTTGATTGTTTTTTATATTATGAATGAATAGAAAATGCAGACTTGTGTATAATTTTTATTTTTTTATCTTTTTTCCATTTTTCAACATTTATATGACAAAATGGAATCGAGTACGAAAATCGGTTTATGTACATTATCACGATAATTGACATTTTGAAGTTGACAGAACATGTTAAAATAAATATGTAAAAGATTACGGAAAGAGTGACAAAATCTAGGAAAATGCATTTACGACATCAGAAAGAATGATAAAATGTTGAGACATGATCAAGATTATAGATCAAGATTAATTCTGGATACATTCGGTTCCTGCGATAAATTAAATATATGTAAATTTCTGAATATCTGAATTTTCATCTGCGTGAGGAAAGTGCTTAAGATTCATCATTTTGTTTGTAAAACAGGTAACGATTCAATCCTCATAAAATTGACTAGAAGATATTAACGATTAAATTTTTAAATTAGAATCTAGAAATTCTTATTCTACATAACTTGTAATGTGATAATTGGCGCTGCAATAATGTTGTATGACACAAGATGAAATAATATTTCTGCAATATTATACGACGGCTGAATTTAATATCAAATATATGTAAATTCTGCGTTTTACTAATATTTGTGATTTTACTGAAGATGGCCAGATTGTGGCTGAAACATCTAAAGATTTTTTATGTAATGAATTATTAAATTTCACAAACAACATCCAGTGCTGTGGTTTCATGCTCCTTTTTTTTATATGTTTAAATATATCTCTTTATAGAAGGTATAAATGGATTTTTGTATCTTATTGTTTCGTACTTCCTGCAGCTATAATTGCGATATAATTACGATAATATGATAAGCATACATTATGAAGATGCTATTATATGTGCATATACATAAAGTTTATACGCATTATGTATAGGAGACAAATATGATGATAATACCATTCAATTATCAAATAATTGAAATTCCAATTTATTTTATTTTTGAAACTGTTCTTGAAGTTGAATTATGCCAATAAATTCACTGAATAGGTTAATTCGTTGGAAATCATATTTTCCATTAAACTGATCCCTCAACGTTATATCGAATTTTCATTATAATTGACGTTGTTGCGTTTTACTATTATTGATATACTCTCGTAATAGAGCATGCTGAAATTAGGTATTATTCTGAATAATCTGACTTTTTTAAATTCCATTCTATTTATTAATCACATTAATTATATACAGCATAATTAAATAATGATTGTAATAAATTTTATTTAATTTTTATCAAGTATTACAAATTTTCTAAATTGAAAATATGAATATAGAAATAGATAAGTATAAATGAAAAGAAATAACAAGAGAATGATGATTTCAGAATATTAATCATTAATTTCAAAATTTTTTTATGGGATTAATAGGATCATAGTATTGAAAGAAAATTACATCGATTTCAACAAATATTTACATCAAATAAAGGAAATAAGGAAAGGCAAATTTGGATACAATTAATATATAGTTAGAAACAGTTATTGCTATAAGCCTTTCTCGGTATATTGATCGGAGGACGAGAAAGCAACCCTACGGGATCCTCTTATATCTCCCCACGTCGGAATACAGGCGCGCTTGTAACGTGGCTGTCACTGAAATATACACGTGCTCTCTAATAACGAGCCTTAACGCTCGCTAAACGTCGTCCGCACTAGTGAAAGTTTATGCAATTACTTTCACTGTACAGATGACTTCAAATTTGCGGCCGATGTGAAAGTTAGGTATTGTGTGATAACCTGATTGCCTAATGTGTATGTTAGGAATATCGATTTCTGAGTGAGACGACCAAAGGATATACTGTCACCATGATACGAGATTGCCAAGTATAATTACGAATCGCTGTAGAGTTTATTTGTATGAACAGAAAAAGGAAGTATGCTATTGTATTATCGTTTAGCAATATATCGTTTTAGAAAATTTTATTAGATTTATGATAAGTATACTTTATACTAGAAATTTAAAGAAATTGTATATTTAATTTTATTAGGTTTTTATAAATATATTAAATTTCACTGATCACAGACAACGAAATTTTAAAAAAGTTACTTTCCTTACCTTAATTAAAAAATTATTAATTATATACGATACAATATTTCAAGTCAGCAACCGTTTCCTTGCAACTAATTTTTAAATAATACGTGTTTTGTGTGTGTGTTTAACTTTTAAAAAATTCTATATATTAAATTTTGAAAATAATCGATTGCCAAATATATGTTATTTCGTAGTTCTTGGTAATCTAAACGAATTTTCTTCATGTATTTTCTTTAGAAATCTTCCGTAGATAAGTAGATCTATATGTAAAATGTACGCGATGCACTATCCGAGTCGGAAGGCGCGAAATGTTAGGATTCTGAGAACTTCCGGAATAATTAATGTGAGCGAATTGTAAACGTCATGCGCACCTGCAAAATTGATGGCGGCAGGCAGTACAACTGGGATGAAATTCGTTCCCCATTGTGAAAATTTAACTTGATTACCATGACGTAATGGTGAATTAATGTCCCGCTCGCGGGCCGTTTGTTTAATGCACCGCATTTTAGATTCGAAATCTCTGTCAACGTGGAGTTTCAATTTTACAATAAAACGAGCTAATTACCGTTTGCCAATTAACTTTTAGTTGAAAATCGTCATATTAGGCAATCTCCTCCTCACTAAATTACAATTAATGTTATATAGAATGTCTTAAAATGAACTGATTATCACTTTATATTAGTTTATCAATCATAACTGGAGTTTAATAGAATCTCATCTGTAAGCAATAAAAACACACACGCACACACACACAGTCGGTATAAATTATAATACTTAAGTAAAATGTATACCGGAATAATAACTCGACATGGGGTGAGTTTGCTCGTCTGTCGCTGGCCAAACAGTCAGAAGGTAAATTCCACAGTGCATCGAGGCGTTTTATCTCGACGGTAGAAATAAAACACTAAAATCCAGAAATTCTATATTAATTAAGCCGCGGAGCCAAGCTTGGTATGAGCTCTACTAAAAATTAACAAGAGGTACCTGTGGAATATATTTGATTTACGCCAGGATAAATTTAAAGTTTAAATTATTCACAGGAATACTCGTAATGTCGCATAATGAAAAAAATTGCTTCGGCCGTTCCATCGGTAATTATAATACTTTAATCCTCATTTATTTTAGGCGCTTTCTATAAAACCACAATTGTAATATAACTATTATTTTGATAAAAAATATTTTAATTAAAATTAAATATAGAAAGCATTAAATAATATAAGCAGTATAATATAACTAAAAGAATTTCTTTTAAATGTCACTCTTGATTAATCAAATTACATATATTTGAATAGGATCATATTCACTCTGTGTTTTTATGTGAATCACCCTTGCAATTGATAAGGAATGAACTAACATGTTACTGGAGTCTTTCAATACATATCTCCGCTTACAATTCAAGTGAGAGAGGGGATGTCAATAATTAAACAAGACATGAATTTAATTCATAATTGTTATAAAAAAATCTATTTGTTTTAAATATAGAAAGAGTATAGTTGCTGTTGATTTTAATTGTTAATTTACTGAATTCTGTGAAACTTAACGCATTTTCATAACCTTATGCATAATGGTTCATTGAATGTTATTTTGTAGAATTTTATTTCATGTTAATTGCATCAGACTTATTATATTGATATTTATCAGTTACATTACATATTGAGGAGGACCAGAAATAAGACCAAAAACTTTATTAACAGCTTTGAAATAGATTTTCTTTATTGTTAATAAATTAAATAACTCTGCAATAACAATATTTATAATGAAATACATAATAATTCCATTTTTTGAATTATTTTATACATATCTATAATATATCATCATATTTACAATCAGTTTGTAATATTGATCATTAATAGTTTTCGACTGCAATATGCATATTAAACTAATCTTATCCTAAAATAATTTCACGGAACATTAACATAATTAGATATTGTCATATTAATCTAGATATATTCACTTTTTAAATTCGAGATTTATACGAAACAGATTAAACGGTCATCTGCTTTGAAATCTATCAGAAGCGAACAATCCATGAAATGTTTAATTTAGTGGGTCAATAGGAGACAACGAACTCATGGCAAACTCCTTTTATGCCCGATGAAAACAAGTGCGGAATCGTGTTCGCAATGAAGACTTTCGAGACTTTTGTGGTACCAATTATATCGGAATCTCGAAAGTGTCCGACTGCGCCGTTTCTTGTCACAAAGTAGCGGAATTCGATACTCCGCTACTTTGTGAGACACGATATGAAAACAACAAGAATGATAATAAGGATTCTCTGCAAATAGGAAGGACGGACTGCCGTCTTCTGTTACACAATTTTCCGCGTGGAATTTCGTCGGCGAAAAGACGTCGGGAAATGTTTTAGTTAAATTAACAGAGCTCTCATGCGGCGGTGTTTCCTGGTCGATTGCGAATTTTTCTTCAACAAGTTTCCTGTTACTCTGTGTAGATATATGGTATCATTGTAACGTTTGTCTCTTGGATTTTTAAGATCTTCTTCCTTCACCGGAATACTCTGCGCGTAGATCGCTCGGAGAATTTGTTTGTCTTAAACGAAAA